AAACAAAAAACATGGGGCCCAGGTTCCAGTAGCTGCTCTGCCTCATAGGAATAAGGTAGAAAGAGTGGTAACGGGTACCTGATGCTCTCCTCTGGTGTCCATGAACACACACATAAGCTCATGCCCAAGCACATCCGTGTACATGTGCATATAACACACATATACAAGCACACATACACATACAAACACACACACACACAATCAGTATGTCATTTTGGATTGATGGACTCTGTTTCCTGTTTTTAATTACTGAGAAGAAGGCTGAATGTGCGAATTTATTACTCCACTGAAATTAATACAGTGCCAAGCATGCTGGGGCCAGAGTTGTAACACAGAATTTGTGCTGTGGTAAAGGAAAACAGCTTCACCATATGAGCATGGATGGAAACTTCCAGATGTACCTAGGAAAAGCGTTTCTATCTGCTGCTGGTGGCACATGCCTGTAGTCCCAGCACTTGGGTGGTTGAGGTAGGAGGAGAAAGAATTCACGCAATCTTAAGCTATGTAGCAAGTTCTTCCTCCTCTTCCTCCCCCATTTCTCCTCTTCTCTTCCTCCTTCTCCTCATCCCCTTCCTTGTCCCCTCCCCATTTCTTCTTTGTTCTGGACACAAGGTCTTGCTACACATCCCAGGCTGACCTCAACTGTAGCAATCCTCCTGCCTCAGCCCCCCAAGTGATGGGATTCTGGGCATGTGCTATGGCACTTGGCATATACATTTTTTCCTCTATGTTAGAAGTTAAAAGAATTATTAACATTTGTGCCAATATGGTCCCTTCATTAATCGTCTTGTCACAGAGTAGTCTCAATTGTCACTAACTCAGTGGGTGTGCTAGGCTTTCTATACTGCACATTTACTGCTGTGGAAACAAATCAATGCAGCACCTTTTCTCATTTAAAAAAAAAAAAAAAAAAAAACGAAGCCCGACCTGTAAGATAGCTCAGCAGGTGAAAGGCTTTTGCAACCAAGCCTGTTGACATAAATTCAATCCCTGGGACCAATGTGGTAGAAGGAAAGAACTAACTCCTATAAGTTGTCCCCTGACCTCCGCATGTGCACTGTGGCATGTGTGAACACGCCCCCTAATTAAAAAGAACAAAACATAGCTGGGCTGGGGAAACCATTCAGCAGTGCAGAGTGCTTGCTGCTCTTGCAGAGGACCTGAGTTCAGTTCCCAGCACCCACTCTGGGTCGTTCACAGCCTCTTCTGGTCTCCTCAGGCACCACAAACATATATATATATATATATATATATATATATATATATATGCATATATGTATGCACATAAATAGAAATAAAATAAAATAAATCTTTTTAAAAATCCAAGTCAAACTGGACAGAAACCCCCCCCCAAATCTAAATATGGTCTTCATGTGTATTTGTGTAGGCACATGTACATATCTGTTTGTGTACAGTCTTTTTGTGTGTTTGTGTATGCACTATAGATGTTTGTGTATGGTATTCGTGTGTGTGTGTGTGTGTGTGTGCCAATGTATTATCAAAAGCATTTAGAAAAGCTCACTTCCTGTTTTCTACTTGGAATCCCAGTGTTGATGACTTCCTGAGTTCCTGAGTATGTTAGGCAAGTGCTCTACTCCTGAGTTATGCCCTGAGCCCCTCACTGGGGGATTCTGGGCAAGTGCTCTACTATTGAGTTATGACCCAATCTCCTCACTGGGCGATTCTAGGCTCTGCTGCTTAGCTAAGTTCCCAGCCCTTATTTTACTAGAAAACATGTGTGTGTGTGTGTGTGTATGTGTGTGTTACATATTTATGTATGTCCTATTTATACAATAAAAATTAAGCAAGTGGCAGGGCCCGTGACCCAGTTCTCCCTTAACTTGGAACTCTTACCATAGTTGTAGTTGGTAAGGACAGTGAGAAATGTACCATGATCCTCAAAGTCTGCTACTTCCCTTCAGTTCTTGATGTCTTTATTATGTGTTAATTCCTTGTAAAACATGGCTTCTTGTGCAAAACAGCTGCCATCTTTATCATTTCAGTTGTGTTTGTGGATAAGAGAGTGTCTGTTAACTGTTGGTGTTCCATTCCAGGAGGGCCCTCAAACTCTCTCCTGAGATTCCAACCACTGCTCCCAGTGGCCATTTGTATGCAATTTGGTCCTAACTGTGGACAGTCTTTGGGGTCTCAAAGGTGTTAGAAGAGAAGTGGTTCTCAACCTGTGGGTCATGGCCCACCCCTATGACAAACCTCTGTCTCCAAAAATATTTACATTATGATTCATGGCAGTAGCAAAGTTACAGTTATGAAGTAGCAATGAAAATAATGTTATGGCTTGGATATGGCTTCCAACACAAGGAACTGTATTAGAGGGTTGCACCATTAGAGAGGTTGAGGACACTGTGCTAGAGTGTTTAGTCTAAGGAAGGTTAATTATGGGGTAGGGGCTCCATTTATACAGTTATAGGGAAATCATCATTGGAGCTAGGTGAAGGCTCTCTGCTGCGACTGTTTTGGGGTCACCCACAGACCTGTCAGTCACCTCTTCACTCATGCTTTGCAAGTAAATCCAGTAAGCCATTGGTCCCCAGGGTGAATTCTGGGGGAATTGTTTTCAGTGGGACAATATGAAGAGGGGGCAGATATGATCAGAGTAAGAATTTTCACAACACAGGGAGTTTGCTGAAGCTTACTCTAGGTTTGGAGCTGAATGACCCTTTGCATACTGTATTTCATAGGGTGACATTTACTCTTTATGAAGACTTTAAAGGGGTAGATGCCATTATTGTTCCCAATATACAGTTGAGGACGGCAAGACTCAGAAAGAACAAATAACTTGTCCCCAGGCATCGGGGAGGACAGAATGAGAACTTTCACCAGGTATGTCCCACCCCCACCCTAGTCCTGGTCATGTGACCCACTCTTCACCCCCCCTGCCAGGAACTGTGTGTGTGTGTGTGTGTGTGTGTGTGTGTGTGTGTGTGTGTGTGTGTGTCTGTCATCGTGACTGGGCTTTTCTGGCCTGCATTCCATCCTGAAAGGCAGTTTCTTTGGCTGAGAGTGGTGACATACTCCTGCCTGCCGTTCCAGTACACCAGGAGATGAGGCAGGGTGACACCAGGAATTTACAGGCCAGGCTCCACAGGGAGACGCCCTCTAGACAGATACATAGCAATTCCCAGGCAGGAGGGGACCTGACTCCTCTCCCAGAAACCCATGCAAAAAACTGGGTGGGTACAGCCATACACTTGTAATCCCACCACTGGGACGATGGAGACAGAGATCCCTGGAGTTTTCTGGGATAGCCTATAAGTAAAAAATGGGAGACCCTGTTTCAAAAAAGCAAAAAAAAAAAAAAACAAAAAACAAAAAACAAACAAACAAACAAACAAACAAAAAACCCAAACCAAAACAAAAACAAAAAAAAAACACCAAGGTGAATGGTAACTGAGAAATTGAGAAATAACAACTATGGTGTCTGCTGGCCTCCATACACCCTTACACAGAAAGATATACAGAGATTTCCTCCATGCTATGCCATACTTTTTTTTTTTTTTTTTGGGACTGGGTTTCACATAGTAGCCCAGGCTGGCCTGGAAACTCACTAGTAGCAGATTGACCTCTGATTCCAGATTTTCTGCCTCCACCTCCTGAGTGCTGCCATGACAGGTGTACACCACTACAGCTGGCTTATTTATCACTCTTTATGGAACACACACACACACACACACACACACACACACACACACACACACACACAGAGAGAGAGAGAGAGAGAGAGAGAGAGCGAGAGCACTCATCTAATTCCCAAAGAAAGCTACAAGACAGTTTGGGAGGGAAAGCCAGGGCACAAAAAGATAGTAATCCCCTGTGCTAAGAAATCTTAAATGTCAAAGGTATGCCACCAGTAACAAGCAACACAGGGACTCAAAAACTGAGAGCTCAGGTGACAAGCCAGGAGGCACCGACAGGGGAGGGGATCCCGATTAACTGCTGTGAGTGGCTGGCAGAGCCAATGCCCAAACTCCCTTGGTAGCTGGAGCAGCCAATGGAGAGGTGATGGCTGAGTTTTTTGGACAGAATGCTAAGGATGACTTTTTCCATTTTGTTCCTGATGGAGCAAGAGTTTCCCCCCCATACCTTTGATTCTCATAGTGTGGGCTGCTGAGCCCGGATTCGTGGTGCCTGTAGAGAGTTAAGACCCTGGAAGCCCTGGAAAAGAAGGAGCAGGAAGGGGCTTTTCGAGCCTTTTGCTGGGGAGGGGGCCTGGGACTTTGATCTTTTTCTTGATAAGACTATGGTTGGTAGCAAGATGTATCCTGTCAGCATCTGGATACTGGGTTGGCAGCCAGATGGCCTCCAGGAAAGCTAAGTGGTGACTCCTAGCTAAGTGTTGCCCCTCAAGTATGGGGCAAGGGAGGACCTGATGCTGCCTGGGTGTGGACCTAGGAGGAAGTCAACTCCAGGTTAGGCTGCAAACCATCTGTGAAGTTTGCAACCCACACCTTGTGTCAAGGTACCCAGTCTTTCTTGTGGAATCTGTACTATGACCTTGGTAGAAGTGCGTGTTCTGAGGCTGTAGAAATGCGGGGTGAGGGTGGGTGGGTGTGCTTCTGCCCTTCCTAGACTTTGTGAAGGGAGGATCCACAGTATTTTGCTCTCACCTTAGTTTTGACTAGCTGCCTTTTCGCTGACACCTCTTCCTCCCCCATGGATTTTCCGGACTCAGGTGTAACCGTGGGTACCGGGGGAAAAAGGAGTTAAGGTAAGGGTGAGCATGCTTGAGTTGGGGTTGAGGTGTTTAATAGAAACAAGTAATTGGCGAAAGTGAACGTGGGCAGCTTGTTTGGGGAGGAGAGAAAGGAGGGTCGGAGGCTAAGCTGCAGCTTCCCGCCTCCCCCCTGCCCCGCCCGTGCGTGTCTGCCTGTGTGTGCAGCGTGTGTGTGTGTGTGTGTGTGTGTGTGTGTGTGTGAGAGAGAGAGAGAGAGAGAGAGAGAGAGAGAGAGAGAGAGAGAGAGAGAGAGAGAGAGGAGTGCGCGCGCACCGAGGCGTTCCTCAGGTTGCGCTGCCTGGAAACGGAGGGAGCCATTGGAGAGGCTTTGGGGGTGGGGGTGGGAGCTCCCCAATCCTGGGAGAAAAGCGGGGAGAGACTGGGGTGGCCAAGCCATCCCCAGTAACCAGGTTCCAGGCTCGGGGGAAGAAGGCAAGTGTGGAAGGTGATCGCCTTGCTAAAGATCGCTAGTCTTCTCCTCGGGAGGAGCCGGGGAGGCACTGGGGAGGAGGCCGGAGCTGCATGGAGTTTCTGGGGCGCGCAACTCCAGCGGGGCCTCGGCCACTGGGCTCCGGGGCGCAGCGAGGAGGCAGCCGCGCACATGGGCTGAGCCCGCGCGGCCAGCGGGCGCGGGAGGGGTAGAGGCGAGCTCGGTGCAGGGGGTGCGGGGCGCACGTTTCCCCAGACGGGAGGCGAGGACAAGGACAGGGGAGGAAAGGAGCAGCTTGGATCACCGCGGGCTCTGCAAAGATCAGCAGAGACTCAAGGGAAAGGAAAGACTATTCGCGCGGGGTTCCCGGACGCCACTGGGTTGGGCAAAGCGGCCTCACCACCGGAGTGGGGGACGCCGTGGGAGCCGGCGACAGAGAGGAAGGATGCCCGCGCGGGGACGCGTGTGAGCGCCAGGCTGAGCGCTCGGGTTCGCGTCGCCCCCTCCCTGCGGGCCTCGGAGGAGGTGCCTGGGCAGCCCGGCAGCGGAGCCCCGGCTCCAAGAGAGGTGAGTGCTGATCTCCCGGTCCTCTTCCCGCATCCTCCCTGCATCCTCGCGTCTCTCTCTCCTTCCATGGTCCCTTCCCCGATATCCCTTCCCTAGCGCGTCTCGTTTCGTCTCATCTCGGAGTGGGCGGGTGTGCTGCCCACAAGCGCCTCCCGGACCTGTTGGCCCGGCTCTAAGCGCCCCACCTCTCCGGGCCGGGGTATCGCCCACCCGTTCCACCCCGTTTTCTCTCGATGCTTCGGGTGGGTGAGGGACGCTGGAATTGCCGAAGGGCCTGGGTTTACTTATGGGGATCCCGGGACTGTGCCAGCTCGTGGAGTCTTAGGTGCTGGTGGCCACCTGGCTGCGTGTCCCCCGGGGACACCCAGGGAAAGGGAGCTCTGGGTGTCAGGGATTCGATCCGCATCGCAGCCTAAGTGGGAGTCCTTGGTGGCTTCCTGGTCTCCGGGAAGCTGGAGTCATGGCGATCTATAGGGGGAGGTGGGAGGTATGGTTCACTCCATATCCAGCTCCCTATCCCTGATGCTCGCACCCTTGGGCAGGATCGGTGGTCTTGGAACGCATGGGGTGACCCTAGAGGCTTCAGCAGTCCCACCGGGACCCCGAGTGGCAAGCTTTGGAACTAATCCAGATCCAGGACAGAGGTAGACTTTGCCTTTCTAGTGTAAGTCAGGTTTGCTGGGGTGCCCAGCTCCTCCAGACCAGCACCCCCGGGAGTGAACTTCCTCAGACTTGGTCTGAGGGCTCCTGGGCAGCGGCAGGTAGTTCTAGTCCTATCTCAGGGCTCTGGAGGACCCAAGGGTGCTTCGACCCACTGGCAGGTGGTGCTTAGTCGGGACCTAGTACTGAGGCTTGATTCCACAGTGCGGGCCACGTGCACCTTCGGCCCCCATTCGGGCGTTTCTTCTCAGAGCTGTTCCTTTGCACGAGGAGCCCGTGAGATCCCATTTGCGCCTCATTACTTAGCTCCAGGGGAATCTGTGTCCGCATGCAGTTCCTTAGGTGCCAAGACTGGGGCGCCATCCCAAGGCCCCAGCCTATTCTTTTTATTTTATTTTTTATCTTTTAACACAAAAAGGAGACATGCCTGGGTTCAAGATAAAACAGCCAAGAGGAGAGAGCTGGTGGTGTGTGGCTGTGAAGTCTGATAAATTTTATTAACTACATCTGCAGTGGCCAGGTGCAGCCTGGCTACTGAGTTCCCAAGACCTGTAGAAAGAACAGGGCACTGTGCTAACCCGGTGGGCACGAATACTCATTACCACGGCAATTGTGCACGTGGAGGGGCTCGTGTTGTGCATCTAACTGCTGTCTTCCAGTTGCAAAGGTCAACTTAAATAACAACAACAACAACAACAACAACAACACACACACACACACACACACACACACACACACACACACACACACACCCGGAATCAGAGCTTAGTAAGGTTGTAAAGCCATTTGGTGTGGAATTGTCTTACAGGGTGGTGCAAGACATGTCCCCTCCAACAAGATAGCAAGACAACACCACTCCAACTGTGGTCGGGGTTGTTGGAGGGGGTGATTTAACATTTCTGTCTTTCTGTTTATCTATGAAGGTGGGAAGCAGAATGTGATTTTTTTTTCAATTTATTCTCATTTTATGTACATATCGTGTGTGTGTGTGTGTGTGTGTGTGTGTGTGTGTGTGTGTGTGTGTGTGTATGTGTGTTGGAGGTCAGAGATACGGAATCTCCTTGGAGTTGGAGTTACCATGCAGCTGTGAGCCTGAGGACACGGGCATTGGGAACAAAACTCAGGTTCTTTTTCTTGGCAAGAGTAGCAAACACTTTTGACCACTGAGCCATTTCTCTAGCCCTGATTTTATTTTTTTATTTTGCATCACTGGGTATGAAACCCAAGGCTATGTGTACATATATTGGGAGTGCTCTCCCACTGAGTGATGTCCCTACCTCCTAGAGTTGGTTTTGATGTGCTAATTCTGCACTGTGAGGTATGGGCTGAAGTCTTCTGTGACCCTTCAGGCCTCTAGGCAGGCTGCTCCCTCACTGTGCCTAGTTTAGCATTCACCCATGAGACCCAGGTCTTGGAGATGATTTGCTTCTTCTCTGAGCTGTACGTGGGGGTCCTGGCAGATGCCCAAGGCTGACCCTGAGCTGAGTGGCTTCAGAAAGGTGGCATTTTTGGAGCCTGAAGGTGACTGTGGCCACCAGCCCAGCCTTCACTGAGAGGCTCTGTAGAGAGAAAACAAGTGGCAAGAATGGTGGCTACAGCTCTTATCCCTAGCATCTGGGATGCTGAGGCAGGGGGATTGAGGCCAGTGTCTAAATGAACAAACCAACCAGCCACAGCAGTCAGACCCTGCCTCAAGAGAAAAGAAGCAACAAGGAAAGAAATAATTTTATTGTGCTAGTACCATTGAGAAAAATCACAGGTAAGCCTTAATGGGGGCCCTTTGCACCGTCTTCCTCTGTGGGAGACATGGGTAGACAGTGGGACAGGGTAGAGGTGTCTGACAGTTGCTCTTTTTTGTGTTCATATCCCATGCATGCAGGTGTGTGTGGGCATACAAATGTGGAGGTCAGAGGTCAACCTTGCTGTCATTGATCAGGTGCTGTCCATCTTGGGTTTAAAAAATGTTCTTAAAATTTATTATAGTGTGTGTGTGTGTGTGTGTGTGTGTGTGTGTGTGTGTGTGTGTGCGTGCACACACACACACTAGAGTGCTTGCTAAAATTATGAAGCTGGCTATGAAGCCCCGGAGATGCTCCAGGCTCTGCTTCCCCATCCCTGGGATTAGAAGCATGTGCCACCATATCTGGATCAAGCTCAGGTCCTTACGCTTGCCCAGCAAGCCCTTTGCCGACAACGCTGTCTCCCCAGCCCAATAGCTACTCTTTTGAATTTATCATTTATCTTCTCATTACAAGGTCTGTGATTAGGATTTAAATAGTGGGTAGGGAAGTGTTCCAATTTAGAATTCCTTCCTTCTCTCCCTCCCTCCCTTTCCTCTGAGACAGGATCTCAGTGGCTCAGGGTGATCTTGACTTTCCTGTGGAGCAGAGGATGACTCTGAACTCCCAGTCCTTCTGCCTCTACCTCCCCAGGACTGGAATTAAAGGTCCATGCTTCCAGGCAAAGCTTAGAAATTGCCTTAGCACAGCATGTGTGCTTCGGGGGAGCCAGTGTGTCCCCAGGGTCACTGGCATGGGAATGTCTATGTGAACTGGTCTTTGAGGCTATGTGTATGGTGTGGAGCTTGCTAATGCATTACTGTACTGGCATGCATTGCTTGTGGGAGGGGGACCAAGTGGGGAGCTGGCTCTGATGATGAGCTCCAGATATTTAAGTCCCATCCCACTTTTTATTTTTCTTGAGACAAGATCCGGCTTGTAGCTGAGGCTAGTCTTGAACTTGTGTCCTCCTGCTCCAGCCTCCTGAGTGCTAGGATGATAGGCATGTGCTACTATGCACCATGGATGCAGTACTGAGGATGCTCGGCAGACCCTGTACCAACTGAACCACATCCTCAGCCCAATTAGATTCTGTCCTTCCTTTCGTTTCCCTCTTCCTCCACCTCTCCATTCCCCCTCTTTTTCCTTTTCCTCTTTCCTCCTCTCTTTCCTCCCTCTCCCCTGGCTCCCCCCCCACTCTGTACTCCCCTCCTTGTCATCGTTATTATTGTAGACCATTCTACACAGGTACAGGATGGGTGGCCTTTCTTTGCCCTTCACTCAAGGCTTAGATGCCAGGAGTCAGAATCTGTAATCTCTGCTCATGATTGCAACCTGGCACTTGTCAGTGGGATTTTTAAGACAGCATGCTCCCTGACTCTCAAGCAATGGAGCCACCCTCCTGGATTAAAGGGTCCAGTTGAGGCTGATTCTCAGTGCAGCCAGCAAGGAGGAGACACCAAATACAAGGCTGCTTCTAACCGTCGATTTTCAAAGTGATTTATCTTTTAATTGTTACACATCCCACATTGGCTGGGGGTGCCGCTCAGTTGGTAGAGCACTTGCCTAGCATACGCAGAGCCCCATTCGAGGGCTGGCACTTCATAAATGGCACGTGGTAGTTAGTGCACACTTTCTGGGAGGTGGTGACAGAGGCAGAAAGATCAGGAGTTCAAGGTCACCCTAAACTACGTAGTGAGTTTGATGCCAGCCTGGAATACATGAGATCCTGTCTTGAACCTCTAAAACCAAAATACAGAATTAGAGAGCAGGGATTGGCTTGGAGTTCTTGAGCTTAAAGGTTGAGTCAAGAGAGGAACCAGAGAAGAGGCTGGGGGATAAGCAGGAGTTTTCGGTTATGGGCCAGGTCTCCATTAGGACTGAGAGATGTGTCTCTGTAGGGGAAAACCCAGAGGCTTAGATGCTGGCGCTGCCAATCTGTGAACCAGGCAAGCATGAGGGGCTGTGGGTGAGACTGATGCCAAGCTGGAGCATCAGTGTTTCACATACATAGATTGTAGAGGTCTTCTTCTTCTTCTTTTGGTTATTGGTTTTTCAAAAAATATTTTAAATTGTATGTGTGTGTGTGTGTGTGTGTGTGTGTGTGAGAGAGAGAGAGAGAGAGAGAGAGAGAGAGAGAGAGAGAGAGAGAGAGAGAGAGTGTGTGTGAGAGAGTGCGCGTGTGCACGCATGCGCCTGCCTGTGGGTTTTTTTTTTTTTTTTTTTTTTTGAATCTTCCCCAAGATTCTCCACCTTATTTACTGAAGCACAGCCTCTCAGTTGAACCCACAGCTCACTGGTTGGGCTAGTCAAGATAGCTAGCTTACTGGAGGGATCACCTGTCTGCCTTCCAAGAAGTAATTATGCGTGGCCAGCTCTGTCCACCAGCTCTGTTCACTTGGGTTCCAGAGATCTGAACACTGGTCCTTATGCTTGCTTGGCGATCGCATTGTTACCCATTTAAACATCTCTGCAGCCCCTGTCCAGCCTAGTTTGCACCTGTAATGACTGGGTGCTTGTTCTGCATGCTTAACACCAGAAGGTACATCCGATGGCAGTGCT